CCCCTCCGTGGACGGTGTTAGCTATGGAGACCCAGGAAGAGCAACCAGAGAGAGGCACAGGGAGGTGGAAATAATTTGCAACCAACCTCACATTTGTCTACGGAAACTTCATAAAGAAGAATCCCCACGTGGCCGGGATTCCTACACCCCTGGGAGGCCCACGGGGTTGGAGGTGGTGTGACAGGTGTTTCGGGGCAGAAGCGACGCTCCAGAGCTGTACACAAGGGTCAGAGGCAGCCCTGGCTGTGCACATTCACGGCTCCGGGGGCACAAGAGGCAGCACGAGGCTGCCCCAAGGAAGGAGGAGCCCGGGGCCCCGCTCTCCTGGACAGAGGTGGGTTCTGGAAGACTCGATCTGAACCGCAAGCCCCTCTGGCTGGGAGCAGGGGCAGCATTTTGGGAGAACGGAGTGAGTATTCCGTGAACACCTGGTGCAGGCCAGGCCTTGTGCAGGGGCTTCCCACCCTCATCCCTTTACTCCTACCAACCGCCCTACTAGTTGGGGGGGGCAGTTTTGAACACATATCATGTGTAGATGTGAAAACTGAGGACCGGAGAGCTTAAAAGCCCCGCCTGGTCATACCTGGGCTCTGACTGCCAAGCTCCTTCTGGGTCCCCAAGTAAGGGCTGCTCTGCCGGCCTCCCGCACCCAGGACTGACGCCAGAAACAGCAGGTAGTGGCTGCCAGCGGAGAGGCAGGAAGGAGACCCACACCCACCCGCTGCCAGGCCAGGCCTTCCCTCCCCACCAGAAGACAGGAGACAGACTTGGTGGGTTTGGGGGCTCTGGGGAGTCGAGGCGGGAGACCGGGGTACACAGGATGCTGGGGGGGTGGAGGGTAGGATGGAGGTGGAGCAGGAGCTCAGTGCTGTGCGGTGCCAGTTTCTCTAAGCCTGAGAGCTGAAGAAGCCTCAGCGTCACCTGCCACATGGGAATGGCAGCCCTGTGCCGCCCCTGCCATGGGGGATGGGGCCAAAGAGGTTTAGAGAATTACAGGCCCTGATGGAGTCCCACCTCGGGCTCCCTGCATGGAGCCTGCTTCTCCCTCCGCCTGTGTCTCTGCCTCTCTCTGTCTGTCTCTGTGTCTCTGCCTCTCTCTGTGTGCCTCTCATGAATAAATAAAATCTTTAAAAGAAAAAGAAAGAAAGAAAAATTACAGGCCCCAAATGGGGCCCCGATGGGGGCTGGGGGTGGAGGTGGAGGTGCTCCTGGGTGGGGCTGCTCTGGGACCTGATGGGGGCTGGGGGTGGGGTTGGAGGTGCTCCTGGGTGGGGCTGCTCTGGGGGCCTGATGGGGGCTGGAAGTGGGGGTGGAGGGAGGTGCTCCTGGGTGGGGCTGCTCTGGGGGCCCGATGGGGGCTAGAAGTGAGGGTGGAGGGAGGTGCTCCTGGGTGGGGCTGCCCTGGGGGCCTGATGGGGGCCCAGGGAGGGGGTGGAGGGAGGTGCTCCTGATGACACAGCTGACTCCTCCATGTCCTCCTTTGCAAAGGTTCAGCAAACAAATGTGAGGCCAGTTACAAATTATTTCTGCCATCTTTCATACCATGGAGTTAACAGCTGGCTGAGCGACAATATATCAATTGTATAAATTTCGAGGGCATTTTCATGTTTCAATCTCCTTATGTATTTCTAGTTGACCAGACTTGTTCAAATTGCCATTAACTGCAATCCCATCACCTGGCTCACTGGGCAGGAAGGCAGTGGCTTGGGTTTAACTCCTCAGGGGCCACGGGCCGGAGAGGGGAGAGGTCTGGGACCATCAAGGCGTAGAGAAGGGCCTGCTGTTAGAAGTCAAACAGCTGCTTTAATCTGTAGACCTCATTCTTCGTTTTTTTCCCTCTGGGGCCTCTGACGACCTTCCATCCAAATCTATATCCGCTCAGATCCTTCTCTCTTGAGACCCTGAAGGCACCTCCTGCCACATTGCCACACACACCAATGGCTGATAGAGCCCCCTTAAATACAGTCCCACTCCAAATTCAAAACCATGTCATAGATGGGGGGGGGAGGAGAGGTGCTGAGAAACTGGGGGGGGCGGGGCTCCATTTGGAAAAGTTGTAATCCAGTGTGATTTGGGGGAGTGGAGAAGAGGAGCATTAAGAACGTTTTAGAGCTGGAATAAAAATTGCTCAGATCTCGTTCCCCGTGCCTGGCACAGACCCTGGCACAGAGCTGGGACTAAGCAATGTTTTCGGAACAAGCGAATGAATGAATATAATCCAAAGACCACGCATAGGCTTGGAACCAGAGCACTGGCTTCAAATCCCGGTTCTACCTCGTTGGGATCTTGGGCCAATCGCTCATCTTTAATGGGCAGGGCATCCAGAGCAGGAAGGGGTCACAGGACCCCCTCCCCCAGTTTTCCAGAGGGAGAGGAAATCTCGTAGCTGTCAGTAATATGCTCGAACTGCCAAAAGCACATAAAGGAGCTACAGCAATTGTGAAACAGAAGTCACAGTTCTCTTTGTTTGGCAATAATGTAAACCTCACAATTTTTAACTTCTAGATTAAAAAAGTAATAATAATAAGGGATCCCTGGGTGGCGCAGCGGTTTGGCGCCTGCCTTTGGCCCAGGGCGCGATCCGGGAGACCCGGGATCGAATCCCACGTCGGGCTCCCGGTGCATGGAGCCTGCTTCTCCCTCTGCCTGTGTCTCTGCCTCTCTCTCTCTCTGTGACTATCATAACTAAATAAAAAAAAAATTAAAAAAAATAATAATAATAGTAACCCTTCCACGGTTATATCTAAGAAATCTGTAAGCCTCAAACATTGTGGCCATACACCATCCCCCCCACCGCCCTCCACCACCACCTAAGGTCTAGGACATACACAATGCTAGGAGGGTGTTCATGACCGTCAGCCCAGCCGGGGTGGGTGCTCCCTTTTTTGCAAACAAGGAGGTGGCATCCAAGGAAGTACAGTTCATAGCTGATCAGGGGAAAGCTTCCGGAAACATGTGGAGCGAGTCCAGGCAAACACAGGATTTGACTGCATGGAGATGGGGTAGGTTAGCGGGTAGGCCTTGGTGCTGGGCCGATGAGAACTAGGGCTAGTTGTTGGGTTCCGTCCTCTCTCAGCCTCAGCCCAGCCTGGCTTTGAGAATAACAACCAAGTAGCAATCGTCAATTTATTGAGCAGATACTACATCCCAGGTACCGTGCCAATTACTGATAGGCCGAACCGCATTTAACCTTCATGACTTTCCCACAAAGCAGATGTGATTGTATTCTGAGATGATGCCCAGTGATCCCCGTCTCTTGACATTCACATAATAGCATCTTGTGTAATAATCTCTCTGCCTTGAGTGCAGGCTGGATCTGGTGATTTGCTTCTCTTTTTTTTTTAAAGATTTTATTTATTTATTCGTGAGAGAAACAGAGAGAGAGGCAGAGGGAGAAGCAGGCTCCATGCAAGGAGCCCGACGTGGGACTCCATCCCCAGACTCCAGGATCATGCCCTGGGCCGAAGGCAGATGCCCAACCGCTGAGCCACCCAGGCATCCCGGGTGATTTGCTTCTCATGAATAATAATAGAAGAGTGCAAAGGTAATGGTGCATCACTTCTGAGAGTAGGTGATACAGGACTGTGACTTCATTTGCCCTCCTCTCCCTCTCTCTCTCCTCTCTCTCTCTCTCTCTCTCTCTGGCTCTTCATGATGAAGCAAGCTGGGAAGGCCCACATGGGAAGAAACAAAGGACAGCTTCCAACCAACCACGGTGCTGAAATGCAACCCTCAGTTTGACCGTCCTTGTGGAACTGAACCCTGCCAACACACCATGCATACATTAGAAAGTGGATCCTTCCCCAGCACAGTCTTCAGATGAAACCACAGCCCGGTGACAACCTGACTGTAAGACACCCCGAGTAGAGGACCCAGCTCAGTCTCGCCTGGCTTCCTGGTGCACAAAAACCTCAAGATAATAAATGTAAATGGTTTTCAGCTGCTAAATTGGGGAGTAGGGTTATGCAGCCATAGGCAACTAATAACACTATTATTCCTATGGTATAGATGAGGAAACTGAGGCTCAGAGCAAACACCAAGCTTGCCTGGGGCCACACAGGGACTCAGTGGATGAAGCCAGCTTAGAACCAAAGTCTATCTGACCTTGACATCCACATTCTTGCCCACCATGCACCCCTGCCTCCTCTCTGGGGTCTGACCCTCCAAAGCTAATTGGCCTTCCCGTCACACGTCATGAGGCTTTGCATCGGCCTTTATGTACCCATCCTTGACCCTCCTATTCAGGGATGTGGCTCTATTGGGTTTTGAGGTTTCAGTCACTTCTGGGTGAGAAGCAGTTGAGGCACATTTGATCCCACGACTTCTGGCGCCACCTTGGATGTGCGCACTGACTTTGTCCCTGCTTGGAGAAGGCGACGGTGTGCAAGACAGTGGCAAAGAAGCGGAGGGGAGGGAAGTGATGGCAAGGAGGTGGGAGAGCCAACGGCCACGTCCTTTGTAAAGCGCCCCTGTCACTTTCCTCGGCACCCCCAGCCCCCATTCCTGAGCACTGTACTCACACCACTCACCTTCTGGGTCTAGGTAGCTTTGCCAGAAGCATCTTTGCTGTACACATTTTTTCTGTATTTTTCATCACATGACTAATCGGCCCTAAGGTAATCTTGCCATCACGTGTAAAACCACAAAAAAATAAGGGACATTGTGTCCTAACGAAGGACATAATGAAACATGAATAATGAATAACATAATTTAAGACACTCTTGTAGGGGTGCTTGCAAGGTCCACTCAATTAGGCGTCCGACTCTTGATTTCAGCTCAGGTCATGATCTCAGGGCGGTGAGAGCGAGCCCCAAATGGGGCTCCGTGCTAGGTGCAGAGTCTGCTTATGATTCTCTCTCTCTCTTTTTTTTTTTTTTGCTTACGATTCTCTATCTCCCTCTGCCAACACCCCCCCCAACTGCTCCCTCTCTCTCTCTATCTCTCACTCATTCTCTCTCTCTTTCTAAAATAAATAAATAAAAATTCTTAAAAGACTTTATTGCAGAATGCAAAGTATTTGAACACATTTAAGGTACGTACAGATTCACAGCAATGCTGTGCCAATAACTGATTTTATCTCGTGGCTTGTACCTTCGCACTTGTCTTCGGAGTCCTTCGGCCGTAGAATTCTACATTTCTCTTTGCTCCTGGATGAGCCTTCTTGTCCAGCGTCGTACTTCTTCAATCTTCACTAACATTTCTTCCTTCGTGAGTATCTGTTTCCAGATCCTAGGCTGCATGTTTGCGTCGTGACGTGAAAATCGCCTCTGCCGTTGTTGGTTCTTGGCGTTGTCACTTGTCCGTTGAGAGTCTCTCCAAAGTCCTCCGGGAGATGTGATGAGTTCACACTCGGCATCACAGTGCAGACCGTGACGAGGACTAAGATTTATATAATATAAAAACGGGAGGATGGAGTCAGTGGGAGAAATGAAAACAAACTGCCAACCAGTCAATGAAACTAAACTGTCAACCAGTTATTTTGTCTTTTAGCCTTCGGGGCAAAATTGCCTTACGCCGAATTAGTTACGGGACGAAAACGCTAGCAGCAAAGACACTTAAAGCAAAAATACTGGACGCACCTCCTTCCTGACCCCACCCTCATCGGCAGCTCCTCGGGAACCTCCAAAGCTACCTCAGCCCTCGGGGCCACCTCACCTGCCCCAGGTTGCTGAAGGTCTGAGCAGGCCAGCAGCACGTTTGCCCTTGCTCACGGCTCTTCCCCAGAGCAGATAGACACACGGGCATCCCCAGTGGTCCAGAGCCCAGGGAGCCGCCGTCAGCCAGACTTGCTTCCAATCCCTGCCCAACCATTCCTGTTCTGTGTGCCCCCAAGTCCTCTTGGGCCTCAGTTTGTTCATCTGCAAAATGGAAATAATAACAACAATCATAAAGTGCTTACTCTAGGACCTGGCATGGGTTCAACACTCAACAAGGGTACTAACCCTATTATAATTATGATTTCCTTATTTGTAAAACTGGGAGAGTTCTGTATTTCATGGAACCAACTATTCATCAGCGTGAAACGTGCCCCTGTTGCATAGACCACTGAGAGGGACACACGCTCTCCGATGTAACCCCGAACAACCCGAACACGTTTCCCACGTCTAAGACTATATCTTAGGGACGCCTGGGGGGCTCAGTGGTTGAGTGTCTGCCTTCTGCTCAGGGTGTGATCCCGGAGCCCCAGGATCAAGTCCCACATCAATCTCTCTGCAGGGAGCCTGCTTCTTCTCCCTCTGCCTGTGTCTCTGCCTCTCTGTGTGTCTCTCATGAATAAATAATTTTTTTTTAAAAGTCTGTATCTTAGAATCAATGAATCAATGCGCTACAGAACGAGTGTCCACCTCGCAGAGCTGATGTGGGATTGAATGGGGCAACTCCACGGTGCTCAATAAATGTTTATGGAGTGGATGGAGGCTGGACTCCCGTCCAGTGCTCTTCCCACGCGGCAGCCACTGCCCATGCTGCTCACGCTGAAGCCCACGCCAAAGCACCCACAGGGTAGTAGGACAGACCGACACAGAGGGGCCCTCCATGAGCCTATGCATTGCACAATCACTTGCCTCCAAGACCACCCCAGGGTGCCTCCTCTTCCGCAGCGGCCTGAGCACGCCTCCTGAGATTGCCCCTCTTTGCCTCAGTTTCCTTCCATGGAGAATGGGGCTGAGGACTCCTCCTTCTCGAGACCACCATGAGAAGCCCTCAAGACGATGTCCATGCTCCGATGTGAGGGGCTTGTCCTACAAGAACGAGGTCCCCTAGACCTCTCTGCTACCCACCCGACCTCCTCCCAAGCCGGAGAAAGGTCAGCAACTTGTCCCTCCTGTCAGGTCCAGCCGACACCCCCCCAAAGCCAGTGTCTGCTGGGGCTCCGAGCCAGAAAAAGGGACATCAGCCGGAGGTCTCGCCCAAAAGGCCACCTGAGGCTAGAATGGCACCGGCCCCTCTTGATGCTGCTTCCTTGGGAAGTTCTTCCTAGAATCTGCCTTCTGGCCCATCAGTAGCAGGAGCCCAGACTGCAGGTTGAGCAAGCCTAGTGAGTAAAAGCTGCTGGAGCATCCTCCAGGCAGGCCCTCGCTCAGGGCCAGGGGCCGGAGGGGGTCTGGGGAAGGGAGAGATACCTGGCAGCCCAGGCTATACAGCCCTGTATCCCTCGGGCAGGACAAGCACTTCCAAAACTCAATAACTTGTCCAATTTTCCAAAATATGAGCTCAGGGTTCTCTGCATCATGGTCTGTCTCCTAGGCGCCTGTCTCAGAGCATCTGTCCTGCCCTGGCTACCTCCTGCTGTGGTGGCCGGAATGAGACCACGGGGCGCAGAGCCACTGAGGCAGAGCCAGCCCAGGCACCCCACCCCCACCCCCACCGCCACCCCACCCCCACCCGCGGCGCGCAGAGACTCTGGCTCACCTAGGACCAGCTCGCAGCAGCTGCTTGGAAATAACAGTCCCCCTCTCTCCGTGATGATGAGCTCCTTATCTCTCTGTGCAAATTAGGAGCACTTCATGGTAATCCAGCCCCGGCTCCCCGCCTCAGCAGACTCTCTGAAATAAAAAAGCTGGAACTGAGTCATCAAACATTGAAGCTCCCCCACAGCCCCATCCCCCCAGCAGTCAGGCCTATGAGGAGGGAGTGAGGCTCCAGGTCCGCCCCAGCCTGGGCCCTTCCCTGGGACACCCAGGTGTGTCCGAGAGTCCGTGTGCAGCCTCCCCGCGGGTCCCAGAGGGCCCCCCCTCCCTGAGCCAGCTCATACCCTGCAGAAGGCACCAATAATAATAACCACCATTTGCAGAGACATCAGGAGCAGCCAAGCCAGGCCTTGGGCCAAGTGCTCTGCAAGAGTTAGTGACCTCCCGGAAGCCTCAGGACAGCCCAATGAGTGGGGGTCTTAGCCCCATTTTCAGATGGAGGCCAGTGGGTTAAGGTGCTGTGGCCGAGGTTGCGGCCCCCGCAAGCGGCGGCCAAGAACCGCAGCTCCCCTGCCGCCTGCGCCCCCGCCACGCATCCCTGGGGACAGTCAGGGCACTGCGTCCCCACACATTTGCAGAATTCATGCACTCACACCCTCATGTGTCCAGGACTCGAAGCTAGATTTTTTTTTTTCTCCCTCAAATGGACCCAAAAGGAATGTGAGATGGGCTGCGAACCAGGTGCCCAGGCTATAAAAGCGGAAAATCAATTTGTAAGGGAGGGAGCCTGGGAGGGCCAGGCAGCTGAGCAAGCCAGGCACCTGCCACCGATGCCCAGGGGCACCCCCGGGTGCCCGCGTGTGCTGCCCCCTGCTCCGGGGGCAGGCCCTACGCCGTTTCCAGATTGCGGTTGCCAACAGGTACCCGCTCCCGCTTCCTGCTCCCCAGCGGCGGCCCCCTTGCAGGCACTGAATTCCAAATGCAGCAAAAAATAAATATTTTAAGGCTCTGTGGCCTGAGTCACCCAGAGTCTGGTGGCAGCTAATGCTTTGCAGCTGGCCCTGCCCACGGGCCTGCTTAGCATGCAATTAAGATGCAAAATATCCCTCAAAAGCTCCCCTCCGGGCCTCTCTGCTTCTCCCTTCAAGGCCCTCCTGGATTAAGAAGATTCTGGAACTGTGGGGATGCACTTCTCTTACCAACCTTATTGGAACAAGTCCCCCTCTCCACCCCAGCTGGGTTTATGGGCTTGGCTCAGAGCCCTGCCTGGGGCAGGGCATGTGGCCTTCACCGCCCTCGCCAGCTCCCTGCAGACATCCCCCAGGCCACAGCACACTCCTCCGAAAATTCAGAATCCTTCACTGATGTCCCCTGGGCCTTGTTTGTAACCCAACCGGCCACAGAGACCTCCGCACCAGACCACCTGCCTGACACCTCTTGAATCTGATCTCCTCTCCCTTTGCTCATCCTCTCCAAGCATGTGGGCCCCGCTGTCAAGCCCCCCAAACAAGCCAAACTCGTTCCTGCCTCAAGGCCTTTGCACTTGCTGTTCCTCGTTCTCGTGACCTGTCTGTGCCTGGCTCCTATTCAACCTTAAATATCACGTTTTCAGAGAAACCTACTGGGGTGCCTGGGTGGCTCAGGGGGTGAGCGTCTGTCTTCAGCTCAGGGGGCGACCCCGGGGTCCCGGGATCGAGTCCCGCATTGGGCTCCCTGCATAGAGCCTGCTTCTCCCTCTGCCTGGGTCTCTGCCTCTCTCTGTGTGTCTCTCATGAATAAATAAAATCTTAAAAAAAAAAAAAACCTTCTTCGAGCACCCCATGTAATGAGAGGCACTGGCGAGGGGCAGGGCAGGACACCAGGCACTTTATAACCACCTAAGGGTCAGCAAGCGGAGGCATGGAGCTCATCAAGAACCACACAGGGAAGGGGAGGGTGCAAGCCCAGGTAGCCCAGTGATGCTGTCCCTGACCCCTGACTGAAGCGGCTTCCTTCCTCCCTGTCCCCCCCTGGCTGCCCCCCTTCTATCTTTATTCAGTTATCTTGTCTGTCACCCCAGTTGAATGTCATTAGTTCCTGACTATGGAAGCTTCTTCTATCTTACTCTGTCCCGTGTCCCCGGCGCTCACAGCAGTGCCTGGCCGGGGCAGGTGCTCAATACAGACGTCCTGGGTGGATGGATGGATGGATGGATGGATGGATGGATGGATGGATGCATGAATGAATGAAGTGTTCTGATTGACTCCACCTCCTCCTGCCCTTTTTCCTGTAGGGCTTTGAGTCAGACAAATGACCCACGCAAGGAGCACCTCGTCCCCTGCATATGGCACATGCGGGGTTTGCAAGGCCCAGGGGCTGAAGTGGCTCCTCGGGGAAAAGGTGGGTCAGCATCCGCATCAGGCTCCCTGATGTAGACTGTGTCCTGCGGTAGCTGGTTCCTGAAATACAAGAGAGACAAGGAAGCAAGTGGGGTTGAGGGCAGGGGGAGTGGGGATCGCTGGGGTAGAGGGAAAGAGGGGGACCAAACTACTACGGAGGGAGCGCCAAGCCTGCCGGAGAGAACACACCAGTGGGCCAGCCAACAAGGCAACTGCTCAGGTCTCTGGGTCGGGAGATGGTCAGGAGGGAGGAAGCAGTCCCCACTCAAGCCTCAGGACTCCTGTGTAGCACAACTGCCACCCTTCAGGACAGTTCTATGATGGGAGCCGGTGTGACGGCGAAGCCCCTGCGTCCCTAGGTGACCACAAGGCACACAGGGGCCTGCAGGATGAGGCAGCTGTTGAAGAAATTTAATTAATCTTTTGGCTCCGTCAATGGGAGTATGATTTATAGGTGAAGGGAGGTGATTGGCTGCCCGCATTGCTCTGGCCGGGCCTCCCTGCAGCCTTGCACGCCCACACATTAGGAAGACTTTACAACTTTTAGATGTGCAAGGAAACAGCCCCAGGCCTGCTGGAAGAACCAGGGCTGAGCTGCTAAGGAGGAGAGTAATCCAGAAGGCCTCGACTTCTGTTTGTCATCCCTGAAGCCTGCCTGGAGATGGAGCCCACCTTGGTGAGGGGAGGAACATTTGAGTTCCAGGGTCTGTCCAGAGAAGGAATCTTGCCCTCTGGGTGGTGACATTCTTATCATTAAGGGGAGGGATGGGGATGGGGATGGGGTGACACCATGGTGGGAGGGTGCAGATGGCTAAGGGTCAGCCTGGAGGCAGGAGCTTTGCAGCACAGAGCGTGTCCCCACATCGTATGGCCCAGGAGCTTGTTGGAAATGGAGACCCTCAGCCCCCAGACCTGCAATTCAGAATGTACATTTTAAGAAGAGCCTCAGTGAGCAGCAGTGGGCGGGAGGGTCGGAGGAGGAATCGAGGCCTGACGAGAGCAGAAGTCCCCTGTGGCCTGCACAGAGCGCCGTGGGGAGGAGCTGGGTGCTGACCTGCAGCCTGTGGGGGCCTGTGGGGGCCTGTGGGGCGCTGGGCGCTGGGGAGGGCTACCAGGAGAGGCTTTGAAATCATGGGAATAAGGGCGAGCTGCTCAAGGTCACAGAGCAAGGACTACACAGGAACAGAACTCCAGGTGCCTGGCCCCTGCTCACCTGCGCGTGCTGTGCGTGTGCGTGAGTGTGAGAGCGCGCGCTGTGTATAGAGGATGGCACGTGAGGACCTGGGGTGACTGGTGAGCGCCGGGGGCACGAATGCATGCGCCTGTGTGATCATGTGCATCTGACTTGTGACATCCGTGCTCACATGTGTGTATGTGTCTGTGTGTGTGTTATGGGGGGGGACGGGGCGCTGCAAGGGGTAGCAGAGGGCCAGCCGTCCTGAGCAGCACCCCCCGAGCACCACCCACAGCAGCAGTCCTTGGGCCTGGGCTGGGCTGGCTGCCCCGGCTGCCTCGGGGGAGGGGGCATGTCTTCTAGGGCTCTCAGGGGGGCCGGGGCACCTGGGTTGCTCTTCTTGACTCACTGCCTCTGGCACTTCACGGGCTACCTCTGTCCCCTGCCTTCCACTCCCACGTGCAAGTGACAGGAGACGGGACAAGGCCAGGAGCCACTGTGGCCCTCCCCTCCACCACCTCAGCCCTGCCACCGGGGAGGGGAGGGCTCTCTGGCAAAACAGACCAGAGTCCGAGCACCTCAACTCGTGCCGGACAACCCCCAGCGCCCCTGCCCTTTGGCCTCTACTCATAGTGTTGACCCAGCCCGGGCCTCGTGCGCCTGGCCTCTGACTCCGTTTATCCGAAATATCCCCTCTCCCCTCCCTCACCTTGCCCCGCAGCAGCCACCCAGGCTCGGGCTCCAGACCAGAGCTCCCCTGTGCCCCCCACATAAGCTTCACCAGGAGGACCCCTCCGTCCAAGCAGATGCCCTGTGCTGGGCTTTCAGCCAACCTCTGGGACTGAGGGGGGGTGAGGGGCTGAGGGACCCTGGGACCCCACAGCTTCCTCTCTCTAGGGTATGGACCCTGGATCCCAGGAGGTCAGCCCTGCTTCTTACTGCAGGCAAGGCACTCACCCTCTGCACCTTCAGTTTCCTCATCTGAAAAATGGGCACATGATACTAAGTTCTAGGGACACAGTGTCAGTGGGTCAGTGGGGTCCTCCCTGATGCCACCAGAGGTGAGCATGGCCCAAGGGTCAGGACGGGTCACAAGTGAATGATGTAATCCTGGAAATGCCCAGTGGTGCTGGAGACTTGGCGCTCGTGGGGCCCTCAGGCTCCAAGGAGCGTGAGCAGGAGTCCAGGGATGGAGCCCGCGGATCTGGGACACTGGAGCCCCGGCCCCAAGGAGACGCAGGGCAGGAGCCTCAGACCCCGCCAGCTCCTCTCATGGAGTGGGGGGCAGCCGCTGGCATTAGAGGGAAGAAGCCAGAGGGGCGAGTTCAGGGGCAGGATCTAGGTGCCTCCCACAGCTGGGGCCCCAAGAACGTCAGCATGGGGTGGGCAGGCCAGCAGGGGCCCTGGAGGGTGGGGTGGGGAGCTCGGAGAGGCTCTGGGCCTCACGGGGAGCCTGACTTGCCTGTCCTGAGCTGCCCTGGCCCCATCTGGCAAGCAGGGTCCCAACCCAGCCAGAAGGGCCCCCGGGGGGACGAAAGGCCGCAATGAGCAGCAGGAGCCTTGCAAGTGCCCCGGTGCTTTGCGCGTGCCAAGGCCCCACAGACACACAGCCTTCATCCCTTTTGCACAGCGCACGTTGCGGCTCGCTAGTAAGCACTTACTGTATGAGGAGGAGAAGGGCTGACCCTGAAGCCCATCAGCCTAGGTTGAGACGTCAGCCCTGGTCCATCTTAGGGCAAGCTGCGCGCCCTCCCAGGGCCTCAGGGGAGAGCAGAGGGCACCACTGGGCTCTGCAGGGGATCAAAGGGGCCTGAAAGAGTTCCACGGACGGGAGCTCTGATGGCTCCCGCTGCTGTCGAGGCTGGCAGGGCCCAGCTCCCCAAGCACGCACATGTGCACGGATGTGCCCAAGGTTGCACACGCCCCCAGCGGCCAGGAGCCCCAGAAGAGCAGGGCTGTGAGCCGCCTGGTCTGTCCAGGCGGTGCCTCATCCACAGCTCTTTCCCGGTAAACACCTGTTGGTGCAAGACAAGTAAATATTTGAGTTCAGTAGCTCGGAGGGTTCAGGGGCGCTGTGGCCTCCTGTGCCTCCTGTGCCTCCTGGAAGCTCTGGCTCCTGACGATCCTGCTTCTGCTCCTCCTGCTCCTCCTGCTTCTGCTTCTCCTGCTCCTCCTGCTTCCCCGCCCTTCCCAGCCTCTTCCAGCCTCCAGTGGGTCCTACAGGCAAGCAGGGGTCAGCGTTGGCATAAGCAGAGTCTCAACCTTCTTCTTCCTGGGTGTGTGACCCTGAGCCACTTCTTTCTGCGCCTGTCTGGGTCTGCTCCTTCATCTGTCCGCTGATGGTAACAGCCCCTCGGTGGCCAGCACGGCGGCCAGGGATGTGGCTCTTCCGGGCCCCAACCCCACTGGCCTTCACCCCTTGCTGACTCAGATCCGACCACAGCCCCTCCCAAGGCCATTTCCCCACCATGGACCATGGAAAGGTCGAGGCCACGATCCACGGCTTTCACACCAACTCCTGGCCCGTGTGGCTGTCGCTTCCCTCTAAACAGAGCCTCCCAAGCATCCTTGAGGACAAAGGCTGTGGCCCTGCCTCCCGTCTCTTCCCAGACCCCCTCATCCTTCTCTGGGCATCTAAGTGGCTGGTCTGAGAAGGCCCAGCTTACCCAACCCCTCTGGGGCCCCCGGAGGGTCCCGATCCCCACACGCGGGTGCCTGCGGCATGAGCACGTGTCAGGTTCACCCAAGTGTATGCACGTGGAAACTCGCTTGCACAGACTGGTCCGTGAGCACTGGGGCAAGGACAAATGTCCGCCCACATCCGCATGACTCTACACACACAACGTTTGTCAGAGGCGCACACGCTCGAAGCGTGGACTGGAATGGGTGCCCCTGCCCCAGCACAGGACTGAATGACCCCGGGAAACCACTATCAGGGAGAGTCCCAAGCCCGCACCATACCTGAACCCCCACGAAGAATGCAGGAAAGGCAATGTAGGAATGAGGGCTTCAGGGCTGGAGGTGGGCCAGGCAGGGTTGGATGGGAGGGAAAGGCAGCCCTTCTACTCCCCCCACCCCCACCTCCCACCCCCCAAGCAGGCCACTGTACCCTCAGAACCCAGCCTCCGTCCCCCAGCAGCTGCCTCTCCTGCAGCCAGTGGAGCTGCTCAGCGCTGGCTCCTGGCAACATGCTGTTGCCACCTAGAGTCATCCCTGGGCATCTCCAGGCCCTGCAGGCTGCCAGCCCCACCCCCAGCTCCCTGCCGGGCTCCCATAGTTGGGGGTCGGGGGATCTGGGAAGGGGACAGCTGGGCGTAGAAGGAGCCATCAGACAAGCGGAAGTCCTGGCTGGACACTGCCAGGCTGGGGCAGGAGAGCTAGGTTTCAGCCCTGGCTGAGTCGATAGCTCTTTATGCGCCCTCGGGCCCATCCCTGGCTTCCTTGGGCCTCAGTTTCCCGATGTATAAAAGGACAAACATTCGCACATGAGGCTAGAGATACTCATGGGCATTTCTCTGGTGGGGGAGGCTCTGGGGTAGGACCTCGCAGGGAACGGAGGCCTTCCAAGGCCAGGCCAACGCGGCCACTGGAGCTCATGCTGCTTGTGCCACCGCAGCCGAGAGGCCGGTGCTGCCTTGGGTCGGAAGCCGAGCTCCTCCTGGCTCACTGCGGGACTTCGAGCCCCAGGCCCAGTCCTCCCTTCTCTTTACAATGGATGCGCACAGAACACTTGGCACAGTCCCTTGGCCCCGGTGGGCCTCCAGGGGATGCTGTGTCTAGCTACTCTCGCCCGCCCAAGGGGGCCAGAGATGGCTTCACGTGGGACCAGATAACGCACATGTGCTTCTGCTGTGCTCCATTTTACCTGAATGGAATCTGCCAGAAGCTGAGTGAGGGGACAACTATTTCCCTGAATTGGAAGAATTTGGGTCACACGGTGGAAACCCTGGCAACCAGCTCCAAAAGGATGGGGGGCGGGGAATGGGAGGTCCCTGGCTGCCACATCCCATCTACCTCCGGGGTGGTCTCCTAGACAACAGGAGAAGGGCACCTCCAGCCCAGGCCGCTCCCTCTCTGGGAGGCCAGCCCCAGGCTTCTCCCCTGCGGCCACCCGGGAAGGACTTGACCCACTGCCCCAGTCTCTCCACGCTGAGTCTGCCCACCCGGCTGGCAAAGCTCCTCCACCACCCGGCGGAGGCCCCAAGAGGCTCTCTGGCCCTGGGTACCCAGAGCCACGAGGCTACAGCTGCAGCCCCTGGATCCTCACCACCGCCCTCCAGGCTCTGCCACGGGCTCCCTGATTGCTAATTTAGACTTTCCTGCCATCCCACGCAGGGGAATCAGGGGAAATCAAATTACTCAGTTATTCACTCTTTTTGTACAGCTGATGGGCTGATTAGCTGTCAATCACGGCTCGCATTAACATCTGACACTGTGTGCATAACAATTACCCGTCACATTAAGGAAACCTTTCCCTTTCTCTCTAAACGGAGAGAGGGGAGGGGAGCGACAGGGGAGAGGAGGAGGCAAAAGGAGGCACTGTTGAGAGAAGGAGGAAATTCAATCAGCATAATTAGCTCAATCAGAGGAGAGCATCACTCCACCAGCTGAGCCGAGTCGCCGGCCTTGCCAAGGCCCCCCGGCTGACCACCTGCTCCCAGAGCCTCTGCCCATCTCGCCGGCCCGCCAGCTCCGGCCTCTCCCCGCAGCCCCAGCTCGATCCTGAAGGGCGGGCTCCCCTTCCCGTCAGTCAACCGCTTGGCCCCGCCTCCAGGCGCTCCGTGCTCCAGTCAGGTGGGTCCATTCCTGCTTGCTTCTCTGGGATTGGTTCTGACTGAAGAAGGGGGAATATAAAGCTCCCAGGGCTGAGGCAGACAGAGCGGTGGGAGGCGGGTGGGTGTTCGGCAGGGGCGGAGCTGGTCCCCGGCCCAAGGACCCATGCACTGATGGGCTGGGCGTTGAGTTTGCCGATTGCCTGGGGCAGGTGGGCCTCTTGCTACAGCTCTCGCATCACCAGGGCCACGTCTCCTGAACCTCGCCCTCAGCCTCCTCAGCACAGACCTGAGGAGCACCTGACAGACAGGCCAAGTGAGGGACCCCATGATGCTGTTGCCCCTGGGGCGGTGGGGAGTGAGGGGGGCGGGCTGTGGATGGAGTCAGGACGGTCCAGGTGGACAGAGGCCTGGGCTGCTGCACAGCCGTCCCCATAACCCAGCTGTCCCAGCCAGCTCCCTGGACCTCTGAACGTCCTGCCCCAGTGTGTCCCTTTGTGCAGCTGCCCTACCAAAAGGCCCCAGAGTGGGAGTCTTCACCAACAGAAACAGATTTATCTTGTCACAGCTCTGGAGGCTAGAAGCCCCAGATCGAGGTGTCGGCAGGGTGGGCTTCTCCTGAGGCCCCTTCTCTCCACGGCTTGCACACCGTCGCCTTCTCTCTGTGTCCTGGCCTGGCCTTTCCTCCATGTGCACATTCCTGGTGTGTCCATACGTCTTATCTCTCCTTGTAAGGACACCAGGGGAATTGGATGAGGACCCACTCTCATGCCTCATTTTACCTTAATCGGCTCTTTAAAGGCCTTATGTCCAAATATAGTCACCTTCTAAGGTACTGGGTGGGGGGGGGTCAGAGCTTCAGCAAATGAATGGGGGGGGGCGGGTGATGAGGAGAGGCACAACTCAGCCCATAACAACCAGAGAACTAATAGGGACATTGTTGGTGTTAACAGCCGATACCTATAGCACTTACTTCATTCTGGACATGGGTCTAGGGGCTCTACATGGTCTCCTGAAATCCTCCCAGAGCTGAGCAGGTCCTATGGGGTAGGTATTGCTGTTGTCCCAACTCTACCATTAGGAACTGAGACACAGGGAGGTTAGGTAACCTGCCAAGTCATGGGATCCAGCTCAAGCAGCCGGCTCCAGGACCCACACTCTCAGCAAGAACCTCATCTGCCTCTCTGCAAGGTGCTCAGAGGCTCACCACCGGTGCAGATTGTCTCTCCCAGTTCCGGGGAGCAAGCTGTCCCCTTGCCCCGGGTCCAGTGGCCTCCATGGTAGGGCCGGCTCAGGTACTCTCAAGCCCAGGCCTGGTAGCTAGCCGTCTTCAGCCCAGAGAGCCCAGACACCGCCCCACAGCACCCAGGAGGGACCCCACATGGAGCGGCAAGGAGCACCTCTGAACCTAACAGCCCCCAACACTTGCTGAGCCCCTGATAAGGCACCAGGCCCCGAGCTAAGTGCACTGCAGATATTATGTCGTTTAATTTCTTGTATCAACAGATGATCCAGAGTCCGGTTCTATGTCCATTCTCTCCCCTTCCCAGCAAGAGTGACCTCAGGGTCACTTTGAAGCCACTGGGTTTTTGTTTTTGTTTTTTCAAGCATTGTAACTCATTTACTCATTCAAAAAAAAAAAAGAAAGAAAGAAAGAAAAATCATTAGTGAGTGCCTCGGTGCCACTATCCTGGGTGTCAGATATGAATGGGTAAAACAATAGGAAGGATTCCTGCCTTTGGGAAGCCTGTAATCTCGTAGGTTCAGATGGAAAATGAACAAATATGGAAGTAAAGAAAAATGTGATAATTAGGAATTAGTAACAAGTGCAATAAAGAAATAAAACCAGGCAATGGTTTGGGGGTGACTGATGGTGTGCAGCCACATTAGTTGGAGTGGGCAGGGGATGCTTCCCTGAGGCAGTGATGTGGGAACTGAGATCCGAATAAGAAGGGTCCAGTAATGAAGGGGAAGGGCAGCCAAGGCAGAGAAGACAATGAGTGCAAAGGCCCTGAGGCACATTATCAAGGGACAAAGTGAAGACCAGCTTAGCGGGAGTGCAGAGAACGGGA